GGGGGGGGGAGGAGAACAGGCATCCTGTGGGCTATCATCTAATTTCAAAAATATGAAAAACGTAACTTCAGCATTGAAAAATACATTTCATTTACAGTTGGGATGTAATGGTTGGGATATATTTTCTCAAAGGTATTGTTTATTAAGAAAGCAAGAAGCAATCTAAGCATGCTTTACTGATCTCTGGTGGCCCCAGTTTCATTTTCGTTTTCTCCCAACACTAGATTGCAGATTAGTTGCATTGTTCCATAAAACAAAATTGAAATTATTAAGAATTGTGGTCACTTCTACCTGAATAGACATTCATTGGCAATGAAGTATCAAAGTGGTGGATGGCTTCTGCCTTTTAGGATCAACCAACAGTAAAGGAACAAGCAGTCAAGAAATACTCTGCAGACTAGCACTTGGTAAAACAGCCATGAAGCCCTTGGGAAAGATATTCAAATGCCATGATGTATCTATACCTACAAAGATCAGAATCATGCAAGCAATGGTATTCCCTGTGATACTTTATGGAAGCAAAAGTTGGACTTTAAAGAAGCAGGTTAGGAAGAGTATTGATGCTCTTGAAAGTTGGTGTTGGAGAAGACTTCTGAGATACTGTGAACAGCCAAGAAAACAAACAAATGGATCTTCAAACAAATCAAATCCCAGAGTTCTCACTCAAGGTACAAATGACCAGGCTCAAATGATCCTATTTAGGACACGTTAGGCAAAGACCCTGTTCTCTAATGCTGGGAAAAGTGGAAGGAGAGAGAATAAGAGAATGAGCAGCAGCAAGATGGATTGACTCAGTTCCAGTGGTGATGGGGGCACCGTTGGAAGAGCTAAAGGACCAGGTTAGGGGCAGATCATCATGGAGAAAATCTATCTATGTGTTCTCTAAGAGTCAGCAATGACTGGATGGCATGTAATCAGTCATTCAGTCTATCTACCTGAATAGACTTGTCTATTTGCCTGAGTTCAAAACACGTAACAAAGGGAGACCTCAAGAACCAGTGATATTATGATAACTGAGTAAAATGAAGCACAGCTTGAACTTTTCAGGGGCATCTGCAAGGTGGATCAGAAAAGTCAAGGTGGCAGCCACAACCATGTGATTGAAATCCCACTGCTTTTTTATATGTGTCATGAGACATCCTGACTTTAATGTGAAGGAACAAGAGAATGGCTAGATTTATACATCACGCATCATATATAGAATCTATTATAGTATGAATATTGTGTTTAATGGTTTAGCCCAATGTGTGAGCCTAGCTAATGTTGGCTTATTCAACAAACTATATAAATATATCAGGGCTTAGTGTAATGTCTAAACCAGGTCAATGACAGGAAAGAACTGTCAGCCTTCCCAGGTAGACCAGACAGGAAACATGACCAGATAAGCTAATTCTACTTTATTCTAAAGCTACATTAACAGAATCTTTCAAGTCTGAAAGTATAAATCCACCGCCATCTCCTTTACAGCCCCCAAAATTAGGGAGGTTTTGCAGCTACGCTGTCTCTTATCTGACTGTTCCCTAGGCACCATCTCTTCCCCCCATCTCCCAAGGTCTTTCCCACGTACCATTACAGGAACTGACAATTCCTTGGGAAGGAATAAAAGGGAATCAGCTGGAAGTATGAGAATGGAGAACTTAAAAATAAATTATTCCTTTTAAAAGGGATTTGTTTTGAATCAGGAAAGTGACTTGAAAAGAATTGAGGCACATTAAAAGAATAAAATTATTATTTAAAATATTGAAAGGTGGGACAGAAACAGAATTGGAAAACACGGAATAAAATGTTCAGGAACATGTAAGCAAATTTGAAAACAAAGAGGTAATTAGCAACTGAAAATGTAAGTCTCTAGTTTAGATAGAAGAAAAACTATTTGGGATAGTGCTATTTAAAAAAAAATTGCATAGTGAAGATCAGTTTTGGAACCTAATATGGACATAAGTACAATCATCACACCACTCTATTCCACTTCATTTCTGTTGTCAGATTAGCCTCCTTCCAATTAAAATGATTTAAATGGAAAGAGATACTTCCTTGCAAGAACATTTTATTTGTTCTCACTATAAAAATAAATTCTGAAGTGAAGCAGTTACATGCATTCATCTACACCACCACTAAACAGCCTACTTTGCAAGATCCATGAGTGGAGATCCAGTACATGTGTCCTTTGCTGTAATTACAGTAGTTTAAGAAGCAATTGAAGTCAGCAACTGAAGTCAGCCCAGTTTTACAACTGCTTCGGGGAACTCCAGGGTATTTGCTGTGTCAAGAAAGGTGAGAACCTCTTGAAAAAGTTATGTATGTTAGTCTGGAGAAGATTAAGAGGCAGCACGAATTTCTAAAAGCCCTGTTTTCTGAAGATGGAGCAGACTTGCTCTCTGTTGTTCTGTAGGTTAGGACTAGAATGCACGTTTCAAATTATTTCATATTCCTACAGTGTCTGTGATCTAGCACTGCAAAATATGTTTTGTTGTTGTTGTTTTCAGATCTCCACTAAGGTTTTTCCATCACATCATCTACTTCTGCTATATTTTTTTCTCTTAATTAGAATTGTTGGCAGATGTGCTTTTAGCATCTCCCACTATCCTATTCTAATATCTGTAATGTGTTTTTTTTTCCTACCCAAATAAAGGACTTTGCATTTGTCTCTGCTGAACTTCATCTTGCTCCAGCTTGTCAGGGTCCTTCTGTATCTTGATTCTGCCCTCCAAAATGTTTATTGTCTCCCCACAATACACAGGTTTGATAATCATCTCTTCTAACCCCACGTCCAAGTCATTTATAAATAGGTTGAGCAGCACATGGCCTGTAATACTCTGCTTGACAGTTCTGTCCAGCGGGATATGGAGCTAGTGACATACACTCATTGGGTATAACTGTTCAACCAGCTCTGTAGACAGTCCAGCCCATATTGTGCCATCTTTTCTACTGGAATCTCATGGAAAATTTTGTCAAATGCTTAATCGATCCTTTTCAAATGCTTATCAATCCTTTAAATTATCTGAAAAGAACACTTTGAAAATATGTGACATGGAATTCATATCATAAACAATTATTTCTTGTCTTGTTTCCCAGTGAATTCTAATTTCTTCCTGGAGGTGAAAGAGGACACAGGCATGAAGCTGCGGCAGTCAGTATTGGATGCATTTATTCTGCTACCTTATCTCAGCATATGGATTGTTGATGGTGAGTGCTTAATGTTTCTTGCCCATTATGATTATTACAATTTTGAAATGATTTAATGTAAATCTCTGATGACATCGTCATGATAATTGGCTCTATTGTTAATAGCTTTTAATGTCTAACTTCTATTTCTAACCTTCAGTTGGAATCTCCCCACCTTAAAGGGGAGGTTATCTGCCATCCCGTTGAAGAAAACTTGATCAGTTCCGTAGGAACTATAACTGAGTCATCAATTCCTACCCAAACCCTAAATCGGTGTTGTCCAAACTTGGCCACTTTAAGATTAGTGGACTTCAACTCCCAGAATTCCCCAGCCAGCATGCCCTAAATCATCTCAGAGACCATGTTCTGGATGCTTTCTTATGCAGAAGTCCAATAAGTACTAAGCCAGCCCCTTACCTCTAGAATACCCTATCCCAGTAAGGCATTCCTGGGTCCATTTATTATTTTTCTAATGCCGAAACATTTTAATTCTCTTGCTATTTTTAATATGTTAATACAGTAATTTAAAATTTTAGATACAAGTGTTTTATAGAACCTTTTAAACTCCTCTGCCTGCTGTTATGCTTTCATTGCTTATATATTGTATTTTTATTTGTTACTATTATATTTCAAAATGTTTATGCTGTGCTTTCAACATTGTTTCAATGTGGTTGTATAGTTTTTAAGCATAGAAATGTTTAATTTGAGTGTTATTAATTAACAAAACTTGCGTAGATCATGTTTCCCCAGTGTTGGTCCCTCCAGAGGTATTGGATATGGCATCCATCATTTCTGACTTTCAGTCATTCTGGCTGGGCTTGATAGGAGTTGAAGGCCAAAGTATTTTGAGGACTCTTGTTGGAGGAAGCTGCCCTACACTCTTCTGTTCCATTGAAGGCAGGCACAAATAAACAAAAATAACAAAAACAAAAGTGTCCACTAGAAGACCTAGTGGAAAATATGTCCTTATTGGTAGAATACATGGTAGGATCCATACTACAAAGTTAAACTGGGTTATACTCTCCCCTGCTGTCATACCAGCATTAGCCATGGTTAGATGCCTGCTAAAGTCCATGTCTTAATCCGTGGTCTTCTGCTGCTTTCCTTTTTGCAAGTGTTATTACTTGTTTGCTTGTTAAGTCTGAACAGGCATAGCACTAGAAACAGAAGGAGCAGCAATAACACTCCACTAACCCCCTTCTTTTGGGCAGCTACATGGATGGGGATCAGAGCAAACACAAATAACTCTGTGGCAACCATAAAAAGATGGGGAACAGGGCCCATAGGAGTCATCTTAATCATCTTTTCTTCCAATTCATGGAACTGAAATGAGAATTATAGTCCCCAAGAAGGGTAAGTTTGGGTACAGGTCTCATTTAAACATTGAGCAACATAGAAGTGAGAAATTTAATCTCTTACTAGTAATCTCACTGGAAACAATGAGCATGAAACTGAGCAAACTCAGGGAGGCAGTGAAGGACAGGAAGGCCTGGCGCAATATGGTTCATGGG